TGCTCGGCTTCTGTGCGGACACGGCGCTGGGTACTGGTTTTCTCTTGGTGCTTCTCTGCGTCGTCTGCCTGCCGTCCCTCGCCGGATCCCTCACTTTCTCCAGCGTCCTTCGTAGGCCAGAGCGCACGTGGAAATGTACGGATCGATGTGCGTTTGCTCCTTTGTAATCTATACATGTCGCAATGCCTGCATTTGCATAACGAGGCTCAGAAGGACGTATGGGGTTATCAGCAGTCCGATAAGGTTGTTTGTTTAGGTTTTGGTTTGTTTTTGTTTTTTTTGGCAACTGGCTCGTTTTTCTTGTTTTTCAAATTTCGGTTTTTGTTTTGTTTTCACAATAGCCCGGTTCCTTCTTATTTAGCGCCGCTCGCATTTATGGCTATCCAGACGTAACACGCAGCCAGGGTGGGTAGGGAGGGGAGCAGAAACTGGACCGTGTCAGCCTCGGTGTGTGACCTTTTCCGCAAACCGTCCATCGGCAAGCGAATCCGCCCCGGGCGAAGCACGGACTGTGGAAAGCCCCCTTGGAGCTGCCCACGTGTGGCAGTCGGAATCGGGGACCTGAGAAGTGTCCGCACCTGTCCCCTGGCTCACTGACACCTGCGGAGCGAGACCCACGCCCACTGCAGCGAAGTCAGGCAGAGTTCATAGGGTTCCCGCACGGTGAAAGCAACTTTTTCAACGACTCTCATTATTTCAAACGGAATCACAGGAATGAAGTCCGTGAACTATTATTGCCGCTTATGTTACTTCTTAATTAGGTACTGAATTTCGTTTCATTATTCCGTAATTCAATCATGTCCGTGTCTCTGAAAGCTAGGAATGTAAAGTGGAGGGAAAACGTCATTGACATTTATTTCATTCCCTCTGTCCAACGGGTGTTTTTATGACGTTTGAAGATTTTTCTAAGCGTTTCAGTAACGGCCGCCGCAGGAGAGGTGCGCGGCTGTGTTCACGGTCGCCACGGCGCAGCCGAGGACCGCGGAGCCGGAGCCAGACGTTCAAAGCCAACGGCTCCGACCGGGCCCCTTGCGACCGTGCGGCTCATGCTTTCGGCGTGCGAGCCCGTGGCCAACGCAGTCCCGTGTGTTAACTTAACGATGACAAGTGACAACGAAGCCTCCCCAGTCGTGGAGCAGCTCTGTCGCATTCGAAGGCAAAGCAAATTCCAGGCGCCGCTTCCGCTCGGCCCGGTGCAGCGACGTCCAGGGACGAGGTCTCCAAACGCAGGAGCAGGCGGAGGCCTTCAGACATCGGGCTCCATCTCAGCTTTTCCAGCAAACGGGGGAGCCCTCGGCCCTTTCTAAGCCTTGAAAAGTTTGCTCCCCAAACAGAAGTAGCTTTTGAAAAATGCCCCGCTCAACATCCAGTCGGTGATTTGACTTGTGTCAAACTGACTGAGCGCGAGGCTTCGCAGAATGACGGAAGTCGGCTAATTCAGGGACAGGATGGTCGCGAGAGGACACTGCGAACATCTGCCACTAGGTCCCTGAGCAGGAGCCCGGTCGGCCTTGAGAGCGGCGCCTTGCCACTGGGCTCGCCACTGGGTGAGAAGCCGGGACATCCTAGCGGCCAGAGCCCACGTGAGGAGCTGGCGGGGGCCGCGAGTCTGGGGGTTCGCCTGCCGCTCCCCGAGCTCACACCCTTCCTGTCCTCGAGGAGCGTTCTCACGGGGACAGGGCACGGCCGAGCTGGCGGGGGTTCCTGAGAACCGGCCCCATGACCAGGCTGGCAAGACGCTCATCCCCCTGCGGCTCAGCATCCCATGCCAGGAGGGACCTCACCGAATCTCCCTTTCGTGGCCGGAGAAGCCACATCCCCGAGTGTGAGAAAGAGCTCGGCCTCGCCGCAGCCCCTCGTCTCGCCCAGTGCACACGGACGGTGCGTGCCGTGGTGGAGACCAGAGCACTGGGCCCGGAGCCTCGGTGCCCGGGCCCCAACCTGGCTGGGTCCCGGCCCCCTGTGAGGTCACGGACAGATGACTAACTTTAACACGGGGTGTGGGACGATGGCTAATTGACTCACGTGCGCCACCCAGAGCAGAGCTGGGCACGAGGTGCGGCCTGCTCACCGTTTCCATGGCGACTGCATTCGCGCTGTTATGGCTGTCACTGTTCTGGCTGTCACTGCGGCCGGGTGGCCTCCGCGCTGGTCCTCCCTGAAACCCTCTTTCTTGATGTCACTTGACTACTCAGAAATGGCCAGTGGCTACTGATTTTTCGGCCTCACAAATGCTAACTCTGCTGCCTGAAAATTAAAAGACACTTAAACGAGGGTCTGCTGTTTATCTGCCGCCCCAGCCAGAATCCGCTGTCCCTAAACTCAGAAAACTTTTTCTTCCCTTTGTGACGTTTTTCCCACCCTCACGCGCACTCGGTCTCACTCGCCTTTGAATGCGCAGCTCAGACTCTCCTGCCAGTGGGAACCTGCGCGTTACGGTAGAACAGACCCGGCTATCGGCGATCGAATGGATTCTGCATCTAAACTCCATCGCAGCGCCTAATGTCCGCGGTCAAAGTTGGGGAGCTAAGCATCGGAAAGAGGCTCGCTCACGACTCCTCTTTCTGGAACATCACAACTCCAGACTTTCGTAATATCCGCCGTGGACCGTGTTTTCTCGGAAAGGGTAGAGACCATCTTCATAAAGTGCCTGAGCTTAGTAAATATTTATGTACCAAATTAATCGCACGAAACCCTACTCTTTAAATATTTGCGTGTGTTTATTGCAGTGGAATTTGTTGGCACGGTTGCTGGCAATCGCGCGTACTTTTCTGAGCACCGAGGACGTGTTTATTTCTCAGTCACTCAGTTTGGAGTTGACTAAGAACGATTTCGTGTAGACACCCAATTAAATATGTGGTCATCTTGACTTTTAATGACTAATGAATACTTCCATTTTTTTCTCCTGAGGTTCAGAGTGCTACAACCTGCCTAAAAGTCTGACCGAATATTCTCTGCGAGATTTGAAACCTTACACAGAGTATAACGTGTCAGTGCACGCCTTTGTGGTGGGGAAAGTCCGGCGTAATGGAACTTCTAAGAAGTGCAGATTTAAAACAATGGAAGCGCGTAAGTTATGGGAAATACATTGATCTGGCTCGTTTGTTTACATCTAGGGTTTTTTATAATAATTTTAAATACGATACTTAACCAACTGTCTTCCTGGGTCCTCTGTGTCTATATCCTTCTCAGATACAATCATGAGAATTATAAGAATGAAGTACGAGGGCGTATTAACCAGTACAATCTATGAGATTTCAGGCAATTAAGTACCTACCTGACTTAGATGAAAACAAACGGTCTGTTGTGTGCCCGATTATCCGGAAGATTATCCGCAGACCGACGCCCAGGGACGTCTCGCCCACCACGCGTGCGCTTGCCAACCTCCGCTTAGCTGACCAAACACTCCGGAAAACACACTATTTCGTCGGCGTTTCCCTCTGTTACACTGAACGCCTGCCGTTTTATTAGAGGGCGCATTTCCCATTCGGGGTTCTGTGTCGGTGGCACCTGGCCCTTGCCACCTGTACGGACGCTGCCACCATCGTCTCAAGGCCCACAGCTAACCTGCCTCCCAGGGGCACCTTAACTCCTCCACGGTCAGAGACGAGAGCCACACGTGGGAGCCAGCACTGCGGCCGCCGGGGCCCCAGCTGGCACCAGGCTCGTGTCCTCTGCAGGGCCAGACACGTGAGGTTTCGGTTTAAAAATCCACTCTTCGAGCTTCATGCTCTTGTTATTGTCCTGAATTTCTGAGCTATCAGGGAGAACAAAGACAGTCTGCTGCGGCTCATGAAGATGCAGCTGGGCAGGCACTCGTGGGGACAGTCAGGCACGGCAAGGGAGGAGGGCGTGGGTGGCGCGCAGGCCTTCGGGGTCTCTGATCCCCTCGCGTCCCCCACACCCAGAGCATCGAGTCGTCTAAACACGCATTCACCGAAAGGTGCCCGTGACCACTCTGTCTTCCCCCGACAGCGCCAAGCCAGGTCAGGAACGTCAAGATCTCCCGGATGTCAGACAACACTATGCGTGTGATCTGTGATCCGCCTCTGGACTTCAACGGTCCCGGGGAATGCTGCTACAAGTTGGACATCAAAACTGGGGGCACCCAGGTTGGAAACAAATCACAGCGAAATTGCCTCTTCATCGTGGAAGATCTCTACTACTCAACGCAGTACGACTTTGAGGTAAGGTTATAATTTCTGTCATCGCGAACGAGAAGGCTCGTTATACTGTCCTTCCAATAACTGGGAAGCTCTGAAATCTAAGGGAATCACACTTTAAAAGTCTTAGAAGTTCGACTCCGAACTTTTCACTCTTAGTGCAAAAAACAGTTGTCCAAAGTAAATCTTTGGTCAATATGTTAACATAGTACTTTTATATTATAATATATCACGTGTTGATAATATCACCTTCAACATATTATCAACATTCCGAATACCCGGTTTGGTAAACTTTATTTTTCGTACAGCTAAATGATCGCTCCTGTATCAAGTAGCACGTGTCATGCACTATAGATTATTACTTTGCCAGATCTTTTATTTACCTTGATTCTTTTGTCTTTGTTCATGTGACTTTTTAAATTGCAAAAATGGTTAGAAAATAGTAGAAATAAAAAGATATGTACTGGGGAAAACTGTGATACAACTCATAGCAACAAAAAATAGTAGAAATAAATAAGTTTTGACTGTATCCCGTGTCTATCTTATTTATCACTCTTTTCTCTACGGCCGACATAAAATTTAATGAGTAGATTTTTAGAGTGGAATGTTCTTACTATTGAAAATGCTAAAGAGTTTGCATTGTAATTTGGAAGTTTTTAAATTTACCTGTTTTTTCAGAGGGTGAGTCTACATTTCTGGCGCTTGAATGTTTTTTATTGTGATTAGTTATTAGGTTATAAAAGATCATTGGTTTTTACATGTCCCGCCTTTTGGAATTTAGAGAGTATTTTTTACAGTGTGGTATATGATACCTGTTTATAAATCTACTGTGAGTACTGGGGAAATGACATATTCTTCACGGGATAAAAGCTGAGATATATATTTTCCGGAGTTATTCTATTTACCAACTCCTTTTAATGATATTATTCAGATCTCTTTTTAACTTGTTTGTTTGTGTTTTTTTTGCCAGACTCTTCTTGCTTTCTTCCTTTTGTCAGTTTCTCTGTATATCTAAACTATTTTTGCTTTATTCGTATCAATACTATGAAATGCAGGTATTTATGGTACTTATGTCTCTACTGTAGGTTTTACCCTGTATCACTGAGAGCATCAGTCTTCATCATTGTAACCCTGTGAACTAATCTCACTTTCACATAAATATAGTGATTCTTACATTGTTTTATTCCCATTTACCCTGTGAAAAATTTTGTGTGCATTTTATGTATAACTCTAGTAAACAGTGTACAGTAGAATTTTCTTTTTAAATAAAATGTAAAATTATTAGCCTATTAATAGGGAATTTAACTTTAAATTATGAATATTTTGATGTGCAGGATTTTATTCCTTAGGTTTCACTTATTCTTGCTGTTTATTATTACTATTATCGCTAAATGGACTAAGATTTCTTTATATCTTTTTCACTGTTAAATATTTTCTTTTAAAAAATATTTAATAAATATTGAAATAACCTTGCAGTTTCAACTTTAAATTAAAGATACCTAGCCTATTTTTAATGAAAATAAACGGCATCATATGTGAAATAACGTGTTACATTATGATATACAAATTGACATTAGAAAATGATTTTCTCTTTTATTACTGAAATTCAGATCTACTTTTACAATGGGAAATATAATGGACGTTCCACTACTGTTTCTCGATCAACATCCTGTAAGTTATTAGTTGGCTATATATTATATTTATATTATGTTATTTTATATTCACATCATATTTAATTATTACATGTTTACATTATATATTTTCCATAAGCATAGTATTTTAAGTTATCTGAAAAAACATGTACAGGTGAACATCATATTAAAATATAATATCTTCAATTCAAAATTAGAGATTCGATTATTAAAGGATAGATTTTATAAAATAATCATGAAAGAAAGAATTAAACCTACATGACAACATCTCATAAAAGGGCATTATTTAAAGGAAAGAAAATTGCTCTCCTGTATTCTAATTACTCTCTTGAGATATAAAATGCTTTTATTGGTTCCGAAGAATAATATAAACAAAATTCATAACATCAGAAATTCATGTATTTGGTCTCATTCTAAATATGTTATTTTTTTTTTGAAACTCTCAAAATAAATAAAAATCTTAAAATGTAAGTACTTTAGAGGTGATTATTCAAGAAACCCAGCAAAAATATTTATATTTGACATAATAATCTCTCTTCGTGTGTTATTTTTCGTTTCTAGATAATTCTAAAGCACTGATTATATTTCTGGTGTTTCTGATTATTGTGACAGCAGTTGCCCTGCTCATTGTTCTCTATAAAATCTATGATCTGCATAAGAAAAGATCCAGGTAAGAGTTGGTTTCAAAATGAAAAAATATATAGATAGTAATAACAATGAAAGCCCTCGTCTGCGAGGCGAGTTTAGAACCAGTTAAGTGAAAAATGTCCCGATGGCACGAAGTCTAGTTTGTCACTAAACTTTCAATCGAGGATTGTTAGTACGATCTTATTGGTTTATAGTAAATCTTATTTCCTACATGGACTAATAAGGTGGTGGATTTCTTTTAATAATAACCCATGAAAGAATGTGTGTCTATTTTTTTAGTACACAGTGGGTCAGAGGGATCTGGGAGTGAGTGACACAGGCAAAGGAAAGGAGAGAAATTGTCTGGAGAAATACGCGTATTCCTTTGGCCAGGAACGACTCCATCTTATGAAAAGCAGGCGTTCCAGAGTAACTGAGTCACTTAGCCGAGTTTAGCAGACGCCTCGTGGCTGGTTTCTTCCTCCCTCGTTTTTTCTTCCCTGTCCTCTTCTCTGCTCTCTTTTCCCTTTGTACCCCCTTCTCTCCTTCCTCCGGGAAGTTCATTCAATGCAAAACGAATGCCAACTGAATTTTATGTTTCTGGAGAATGTAGAAACTTACAATTCTTATTTTCACAGCAACTTAGATGAACAACAAGAACTTGTTGAAAGGGGTAAGTATGAGTTTTTTGTTTTCTGGTTTTTTTACTGACAAGTTATC